TCGAGATCAGAATTAATCCCTTGTGTCTCTTCAGCCGTGCCCTGTACAGCACTGCTGGCCTTGGCTCGTGTTTGGAGCTGAAGTTCAGAAACTTCAGCTTTGTAGTAGCAAGGGAAGTGTTTACAAACTCGTGTAAAACACTTGATCGATTTCAGTAAGGTTCAAGATAGATTGGGTAACCTTGGTTTGCGATGAGTACTGAGTAGAAGTTTTGTTTTAAAGCAAGCTTCCTTAAGCTGTGAAGTGGTGACGTAACTCAGGGTTTAAGTACCGGTGATAGTTACACCCTAGAATACAGTAACCTTTGTAGGTATAAAATAGCTGCCACTAAAATGGGATGGTCGTTTTAATTATTAATATATCACCTTAACAAATGTTACAGCCTGTACAAGTCATACCCAGTGACTCATTAGCTGTATCTTTTGCTAGTTATGTAGAATGTTTTTAATAGCAGCTTGCTACATACTCTGCTGGGATGTGTGGAGCTTTGTGCAGATAGTTTTGTATTCTGATATGGTGGAGATTTTGAAGTGGCTGCTTTCTGCCTTGAAGCTATGGGTTTTTTCCCCTGTTGGAGGAAAACAACCTCCATAAAAGTACAGAAGTATTGAATTTGTACTGATCTGGAAGGTAAATAGTTATTTTGCACTGTAGATGCAATAGGTTGCCTTTAGAATAGATTGAAGATAAAATACCTTGAAAATTCTGTTGGGGGGAGGTATTAACTTGTATCCTTTTCACAAAAGGTGTCTGCTTATCTACCAAACAAAAGATGTTAAGCTTAAAGCCCACACAAATAAACCTTTCTTCAAAATTTTACCCAGAACTACTCATGGTTGAAAATGAAGGGGTTTTTTATTTCATATAGAAGACTGACTACAGGAGAGGAGATGATTAAACTTTAAATTGTCATGTGCAAAACATGCTGATAAACTGGATGAGAATTGTTGGTGTGTTTAATTATTCTTGGAACTTTTTGCCTGTGTGTCATAATGTTTGTTGTTGCTGTATAAATGACTTGTGGTATGTAAATGACTAGCTTTCCCCCTCCCCACCCATAACAGGAACAGAGACTGGGTATTACAGAACGACAATAAAAACAGAACCAGCTTCTGACAGTACCTGCATGGAGAAAATGGTGGTTAGGAAAACTGAGGATATGACAGACTTCATGGATGACTTAACCCTCAGCTCACCAAAGAAAAGAGAGTTGTCTTTGAGATCCAAGAGGAGTTGTGATAGGTCATCAACAAGGTCATCTAGCAGATCCTCTTGCAGTTCACGGTCCAGTTCAAATAGTTCCTCTTCAGCTTCCTCCAGGAGTTGGAGCCGATCCAGGTCAAGGTCATGGGCTGGAAGAAATGGTTCCCGAAGGTACAGAAGGTACTCTCGCTCGTATTCCAGAAGCCGGTCCAGATCACGTGGGTACATGAGGTACCGGGGAAGATACCATGCCAGGCACTACAGGAGGTACCACCGCTCTCCTCCGAGATACAGGTCACGCAGTAGGTCGTGGTCTCGTGGAAGATCATACTACAGAAGGTCCTATTCAAGAAGCAGATCGCGTTCAAGAGGCCGAAGATATTATGGATTTGGGCGAACAGTGTATCCTGAGGCTTACAGGAGCTGGAGAAGCAGGTCACGAACAAGATCTCGGAGTAGGTCACCTCTCCATTTGAGTGAAAAAGGTACTTTTTTTCTGAGACTTCCATTGTGCAAGAACCTCAAAGCATACAATTTGTATTCATTTTAACCAGTCAAATTCTCACCTGTTTAATTGCTCTATAGAGCATAACTGATAATAGCAATGTGGAGAAAAAACTCTGTGTGGTTATGAAAAATGTATTAAAGTAGTTCAGAGCATATTCTTTGCATTTCAACTGAAGCTAAATTTCTCAACTGATAAAACTGTCTCTTCTGATAAAAATTCATCACAGTCGATGCTTATGTAGGTGCAGGGATAGTGAGCCTGCAGTTTTTAGGCTTGGATGAGTAGGTAATGTTGATTTAAACGTAAAGGAATGACACTTTTTTCTTCCTCTTGTAGACAAGAGGGAACTCCTGGAAATTGCAAAAGCTAATGCTGCAAAAGCTCTGGGAACAGATAACATAGTCTTGCCAGCAAGCTTGAAGATTGTTACTCCTTCCAAAGAGATTAAAAATGAAAAACAAGAGCATGAAGACGCTGGAGAGTCAGCTGAGGTAAGTATGAACTGGAGTATTCTCAATGAAAAGGTAAACACTTGTTAAAACTTGTCGTCTGCATGGATGTGTTACAGTTTTCAACTGTGGACTTTGTGATTATGAATTCAAACCCTTGAACAAAAACTTCAAATTTACCAGAAGGCTAAAAACTACTCTAGAAACCACTGTAGACTTTGTGTTAAGCTGAAAGTACTACGGACTCTTAAGAGGCGTTCAATCCACTGAGTATGTGCAGGCTTTCCAGTCGTGATAGGTTGGGAAGGAGAGGTGAACGTAGTTTGTTCTTTTGAATTGTTGTTTTTGCCCATTACTTAGACTAGTTTATGTGTTTCTGACCTAAAACAAGGAGTTTCCTTACCAAACCTAGTGAATAGTGTGGGTTTTTTAAGGTTAAATCTTTCTACCCTTTTTAACTGTTAAAAGCTTTTCATGTGCAACAAACTGTTTCCCAGAAATTACATACCCAAGCACACAATGCATTTTACATACTTTATTTCTGTCTTATAGAAATCATGACTATGGTTCCAGACATGATGAAGAAAATCTGTTGGTAATTAAGGGACTTGTGGGCTATAGCTGCTGCGCATTTAAGGGAGGGAGAAACTTGAGCTGCTTAAATTGAATTTGAATTTTAGTTTGGCTCTGTTATGGTGTGTAACCTGATTCATTGTAAATACAAAACCGTGATAACTGTTAGATCAATCAGATACTGCTATTTCAAATGGAAGTAAATTTACTAAGGGTATTAGACAAATGGTACAGGCATCCCTTTCATAATATATGCAATATATTCCAGATGTTGAGAAAGTACAGAAGAAGAGGCCTGCATCACTTGCAGATAAGTTTATTGTCATTATCCAAAGCTCTGCAGGATGGACATGCAGAACTTAATGCAACTTGCTCTACCACTACACCTCATTGTATCACAGTCCATGCTTTGAATCCTTTAAAGCTGTAACCGGGGCATGGACGTCAGGTCACGTGTGAATTGGCACAATGACATTGGTAAAAATACTGAATGCTTTTCAAATTGAGCTCAGCATTGATCTGTTTGCATATTTAGTAGCTTACAGCTACTTTTGATGTAAATATCTGAAACAACTCTACCGGAAAGTTCATATGTTGTAGTAACTGTGTTAACTAGCACGGAGTAATGCATCCTCCCGCTAAAGCTGTGTGTGCTCTTCTCTAGCAACCCAGCAGACCAGTAGAAGACATAACCAAGAGTGGACTGGAGCGAGTGACCCTACAGAGAAGCATTTCTTTCAGTCCTAATGTAAGTGTCATTTCCCAAGGTGGAATTCCAGTAATTAATCACCCCCTGCATTAGGCTATTCCCAGTGCTGGTTGCCAAATTAAAGATCCTCATGGTAATTAATTTAATGGTTTGGTAATGACTTTGCTGGAGGGGTTAGATCAGTACTTCAGCACTAGAGCACTGTAAACACTACAGCAGTGTGTTCAAAATGGATGTTTACCTTTCAGCACCTAATAACGTTGAACATCTGCCATACACTTTGGAGTCTGTAGTACAGAACTGGTTTACACCAGAACTTATTTGAAGTTGCATGTTTGGTTATATTTTAATAATGCAGAACTAAGGAAAAAGCAACTTCCCTGAATCCTGTGTCAATTAAGTATATGCACTGGTGCTCAGTAGGCATCAGGTCTCGTGTGAGCTGGAAAGAAACCATTTGTTTTATCTTACAAAGCCCCTGAAGCTGGCAGGTCTTAGTACATTCCTTCTTGTTCTAGCATTTTTAAAGAAAACTTTATTTTTCCAGAATACAATGGCAAAACCAGTACTACAGAAGCCAGCAAGCCATGTTGTTAAGGAACCGGTAATTTCTCTGGGAAGAGAAGACGACAGAAAGGGAAGTCCCTACGGGCAATGGGTTCCTGTCAAGAAGGAGGAGAAGAAAACATTTTTAAACTTCTCGCCTAAAAGTGCACCGTTCCGGGCACGCTAGCGTATTTTTCTTGCTCTGACTGCAGCATTACGCTTGGTTCAGTAGTGAGATCTGAAACTTTCTGATGAGGTTGAAGACTTGTTAATACTGAGTATTTATTCTGAGATCTTAATTTTGGAATCTTAGGTTTCTCTTTCAGATGTAGAGCACAGTGATCCAGAAGCTGCAGATGGGAATCTTGTGTATATTTGTAAATATTTTGTATTGCTTTAATGGACTAGAACTTACAGGTGGGTAACTTTTTCTAAATGATAGTTCAGTAGCTGTTATTTTAAACACTTGATTTATATTGTGTAAATGTTTATTTCAAGTAAATAAAGTTGAGTTTTGCACTGGCTTCTCAATGTGTTGAGTAGTAAGTTGACGTGTCCTGTAAGTGGTTATCTCCAGGTTTAGCTTTCTCTTACCCTGCTGTTGCACTTGGTGATAATTTTTGCATCGTTCTGAAGGTGGAACTCTGCAGTGGAATGGTTCCTGCTCAGGCTGTGGTTAGTTCAGGGCCTCTGGAGTAACTTCCCTCTACTCAATGAAGAAAAATACCTGGGGGTATTACAAGCAAGTCAACAGGCTGCTGTGTGGATTACAGCCATCAGTTCAGTTCCTCTTTTTTTAAAAAATAAACTGCTAGTAAAATAAACTGAACTTGACTCCTGCAATCTGGAAGCTTTTTTTAAGAAACTTTACTAAAATTGAGACCAGGCTGGCAAACATGCTCATGATTTATGTATTTTGTGGCAACTTGATGCTGGAGATGATCTGATCACCTGCTTGGGGGGTGGAGGCAGCTGTGCTGTGCAGGTGCTGCCTGTTCTTGTACCTTCTTGCTCAACAAGTGCTTTTTCAGGGACTTAATAGCTGAAAGCTGGCAGAAGAATGAAACAAGCTTTATCCTAAACTGAGTGGTTTGAGTTTGTGTTTATTTAGAATGTGAAATTGCACAAGTTGGTTACTTCTGCAAGTAAAAGCTATATACAGCTGAAGCTGTGAGGCAAATTATTTCTAGTACATTAAATACACTGTTGAGATTACAAATTAATGAGGCCTACAAAGCATTTTTCTTAAAATTGCCTGCAAAATCTCTGTACCAAACTCTAACGGACAGTAGGGCTGTCGTAGGTGCTGTGCTGGAGCTGAGGGTTCAGACAGCTGTTCCTCTTTCCAGGTTCTGTTTTATCTCAGCTGTGTACTTCCCATAGAACCTCTCAGCCTTCTTGTTGAACTTGGCATTTCGCTCATTGATGTAGTCGATGTCTGCATCATCATTGTAAGGACGTCGCCGGCTGTATTTGTCACGCTTTTCGATCCTGTAAGACAAGCAGCAGCATTTAAAGACCCGATGACACAAAGCTGCTCTGTGTCACACACTGCTTGGTTTTATTTTGGTATTTACTCACTGTTTTTCAAGATCTGCAACCATTCTATCAACCCCTTCCTTAGACGGCACATGTGTTCCATGGAGGAGACTGTCAGATGTGGGATAAAGCGCTTCACCGCTAAACAAGAGTAACACAGGCAGCGGTTCACACAACTGTATCGATTGCTTTGAGGTTTCACTGCTTTGGTTTGATTCTTAATTTAGCACTTCAAGGCACTTAGCTCACATTGAATTGTGGGAGTCCAAGGTGAGAACATGCTGATGCTAAACCCAAGCTCTCTTAATTATTTTGAGGCATATGCCTACGAAAGATACAGGAGCCCAGCACTGAAACTAAATCTGAATGCAAACTAGGCAAACTTTCATCTGTTGGTGTGGCTTAAGAATGGACCAGGCTGCTTAAAAAAAAACCCCAAAACCTACTCTGAGAAACAAGTGATTACTCCTGCATTTAAATAAAATTTAATTGACCGAATACTTCTTCAAACTTGATAATGCCAAGTTTGAAGAAACAAACCTCAATGACCCCACTGCCCCTACTGCTGCAGCAATTGCAGAATTAAGATCTTGTCAGAAGACATGTTAATATTGCAGTGTATATGAGAATATGGGGCTGAAAGGATTAGTTCAAGTCTTCAGTGTTTGCTAATAAAGTAGAAATACCACAGAGGGTGTCAGATGACTGAAACCAAACTTACTACTGCTCTTTCAGCTTCTCGTACTGCTCCAGGTCAGGTTTGATCTGCCGCGTTAACCGCTGGTACTGCCGCAGCTGAGCAGCTGCGTAATCTGGGGGAAAATGAATCTGTGTCAAGGTGAAGGGTTTTATTTCACAGTTTAGTTTGCAGCTGAAATATTAACAGAGGTGTTCATAACCGACACAGACAACTACATAGTACTGCTGTTACCTGAAAATCCTAGATCTGGATTTTTCTTCTTCTTTTTCCTTTCCCATCTCTCAGCATCCTCAGCACTGATCTCCAGCAGTTTGACTCGCTCGTAGTCTTCTCCTCTCGCCGCACATTCCTAACACAGCGCGAAGAACGCTTCAGTTTTAACAATAAGTGCTCAAGCATCAATCCTGGTTATAACTACCTAGATCAGTCCACTCAACCTCTAGTGCAGGATGATCATCTGAATTATCTAATCAGGAATCTAATTAGGAGATGGATTTTTTGGGGGTAATGTCTATATAAGCTCCCAAGGCTGTTTAGCTGCCACAGAGGGGGCTCAGCCTCACTGCAGCTGTAATTGTGCATTTACCTTCTTCTTTTCCTCCACTTTCAGCTCCCACTCCAGCCGAGCTTTTTTGGCTTCCCAGTTTGGTGGCAATTTAAGTCTTTTATCTTCTTCCACCACTTCTTGGTGATTCAGCTTGCGAGCCTCATTCTAGGAGCACAACAGATCGTTACACGCGGTAGCACCTGAAAAACAAACCCCCAAACCACCGGTGACGGTCCCGGGAGGGGGCTGGGCCGCTGGTTCCTGATCCTGCCACATAAACCGCTGCATTTGGTGAAGGGCTAAAGAAACCATCTCCCGTATGTGCGGGATCGGGGTCAGACAGGACGGGGAATCGCTGATGCGGTGGGAGCAGCGAACCGGCGGCACAACCTCCCCGGGA